ACACCTAATATAACCATCACATTGGAAAGTGTGACTACTACACTTGAGATAACCATCACATTGGAAAGTGTGACCACTACACCAAATATAACCATCACATTGGAAAGTGTGACCACTACACCTAATATAACCATCACATTGGAAAGTGTGACCACTACACCTAATATAACCATCACATTGGAAAGTGTGACCACTACACCTAATATAACCATCACATTGGAAAGTGTGACCACTACACCTAATATAACCATCACATTGGAAAGTGTGACCACTACACCTAANTTGAATTTAAGTACAATATTAGAAATAAACATAATTTAAAGTTCGGGGGTCTTGTTTACATAGTGTTCCCCTTTTAATATTAATCAAACTTGGTAAGTGTCTTCTACTTTTAGCTACCCACAAGGTAAAAACCTCATTATGAACTACCTACCCGACTTCTGATGCCACGAGATTGAACCTTTTATTCAGTCTAAGAACAACATTAGAATTTAACAGAGTTCAAAGTTCATGGGTCTTGTTTTCACAGTGCTCCCCTATTGTCCGGACGTGTTGGTGAATACATAAATGGTCTAATCTAATTAATAAGCGAAACGACGAATTTTATTTCTGCCATTAACACTACTGATGTTTAGTTAATCTGTTATATTATCCATCATCTATCCATATAATCTATCCATCATCTATCCATATAATCTATCCATCATCTATCCATATAATCTATCCATATAATCTATCCATATAATCTATCCATCATCTATCCATATAATCTATCCATCATCTATCCATCATCTATCCATATAATCTATCCATCATCTATCCATCTCATCTATCCATATCATCTATCCATCGTCTATCCATCATCTATCCATCATCTATCCATCATCTATCCATCTATCCATCATCTATCCATCTATCCATCATCTATCCATCATCTATCCATCATCTATCCATCATCTATCCATCTATCCATCATCTATCCATCATCTATCCATCTATCCATCATCTATCCATCTTCTATCCATCTATCCATCATCTATCCATCTATCCATCATCTATCCATCATCTATCCATCTATCCATCATCTATCCATCNAATCTATCCATCATCTATCCATCATCTATCCATATCATCTATCCATCATCTATCCACCATCTATCCAGCAACACATAACTATGCCGATTGGCCTATTGATAAATAAATTCTAATAAATATTAGCTCCCAGCAAAGTAGTGTTGTATGTACATATTATGCTTTTGTGAATTAAACACATATCTTATCACTTTCATAATGTACAGGCACATGAATACGTAATATAATGTCTGTTCATGGGCTGATTGGTCGAGTGGTTAACACTCCGGCCTTCCAAGCAGGCGTCTGGGGTTCGATCCCCGAAGTCGCCGCACGCATGGAATATTTAGAGAAAGTGTTTTTCTACTGCCCACACAACTCCAACAACCCTGGTAGAGTATAAAATGGTCTGGGTGGGTGTTGCGGTATCTGTGCTGTAGCATTCAAGTGGGGTGGCACTATAAACGATACCGTTGGAAGCACGGTACCACTACAAACAGAACACAATACATCTCCAGCACACACACAGGCATACACACATAGGGAGATATTAGCCAGGTGGCATATGAATAGTAGTTAGCGACTGATAAGGCAGTTCCTGCGAATTCCTCAATATTGTATTGATTAAGATATTTGCTCATAATATTGACTGTATAAAAATTGTATATCTATGTACTGTAAAGCGCTTTAGGGTGGCTTATGTTAGCTAGATAGGGCGCTATATCAAATGTTGTATATTTATATCCTATATCTACCTTTGTATATACTATAACAGAGACGCAATAAGCAAAATGATAAACAGGACTGGGAATTGTAATAACCATCAAATAAGTATCCAGTGTTAGAACAATGTTTTCTCGAAGTATTATAATTCCTGAAACCTTATTTTACTGATTTGTGTAAATGAGGCTTAGTTGAGTTTTAAGACAGTTTCGAGGAACATATTGCTAAATACATCATGTATTAATACGTAAAAAAAATATTAGTCAAAATAGGTTCCAATGAGTAACGAACAAGGAACACAGTGTAAAGTTAGTTACCTTAATTGAATACTAATTAACGAACAAGGAACACAGTGTAAAGTTAGTTACCTTAACTGAATACTAATTAACGAACAAGGAACACAGTGTTAAGTTAGTTACCTTAATTGAATACTAATTAACGAATAAGGAACTAACTTAAACTTGCTAGCTGAGCAATTTGACCAACTTGCATAATGTGACGATCGTTATATATAAACGAAAATGATATATTGACCGAAGTATTATAAAGTCTTAAGCAAGAGGATAGAAACAGATATCAACAAGTAATATATACCACTCAGTATCTCAGCAAAGTTCGAACGATTTATGTATATATGGTCGGGAGTATAGAAAATAATGTACGAGAAAGTGTTGATGGACATTGCATAAAGTCTGATTATTTTAAGTCAATGAAGCAGTTTGCTCTGCTTCAAAGGCCACACAGGAACTTCAACAAATATGATAATTTCTACTAAAGCCGTATACAGATTACTCGCCTGTATGATAAATAAAGGACTGTTCCTCGGCGAACACACGTTGTTACACATTGTGACGGTCATGTAGGGTTTAGAAAGGTAATTTTGCATGTTCAGGTTTGAGTTCCCCCAGCATCCCTCATAACTGTACTGGAACGGTAATGCGTCTACAACAGTAAATAATAATCATATTAGATGACCCATTTCCCCTACATTCTCATTGGTTGAAACACTTGATTAACATGGACAGTTTGTTGTGATATACCAGTGAACACTTGTCTTACATGAACAGTTTGGTGTGATATACCAGTGAACACTTGTCTTACATGAACAGTTTGTTAAGATATACCAGTGAACACTTGTCTTACATGAATAGTTTGGTGTGATATACCAGTGAACACTGTCTTACATGAACAGTTTAATGTCATATACCAGTGAACACTTGTCTTACATAAACAGTTTGTTGTGATATATCAGTGAACACTTGTCTTACATGAATAGTTTGGTGGTATATACCAGTGAACACTGGTCTTACATGAACAGTTTGGTGTGATATACCAGTGAACACTGGTCTTACATGAATAGTTTGGTGGTATATNCTGTAGTTTGGTGGTATATACCAGTGGACACTTGTCTTACATGAACAGTTTGTTGTGATATACCAGTGAACACTTATCTTAAATGAATAGTTTGGTGGTATATACCAGTGAACGCTTGTCTTACATGAACAGTTTGGTGTGATATACCAGTGAACACTTGTCTAACATGAACAGTTTAATGTCATATACCAGTGAACACTTGTCTTACATGAACAGTTTGGTGGTATATACAAGTGAACACTTGTCTTACATGAATAGTTTGGTGTGATATACCAGTGAACACTTGTCTTACATAAACAGTTTGTTGTGATATACCAGTGAACACTTGTCTTAAATGAATAGTTTGGTGGTATATACCAGTGAACACTGGTCTTACATGAACAGTTTGGTGTGATATACCAGTGAACACCTGACTAACATGAACAGTTTGGTGTGATACACCAGTCAACACTTGTCTTACATGAATAGTTTGGTGGTATATACCAGTGAACACTTGTCTTACATGAACAGTTTGGTGTGATATACCAGTGAACACTTGTCTTACATAAACAGTTTGTTGTGATATACCAGTGAACACTTGTCTTACCTGAATAGTTTGGTGGTATATACCAGTGAACACTTGTCTTACATGAACAGTTTGGTGTGATATACCAGTGAACACTTGTCTTACATGAACAGTTTGGTGTGATATACCAGTGAACACTTGTCTTACATGAACAGTTTGTTGTGATATACCAGTGAACACCTGACTAACATAAACAGTTTGGTGTGATACACCAGTGAACACTTGTCTTACATAAACAGTTTGTTGTGATATACCAGTGAACACTTGTCTTACATGAATAGTTTGGTGGTATATACCAGTGAACACCTGACTAACATGAACAGTTTGGTGTGATATACCAGTGAACACTTGTCTTACATGAACAGTTTGGTGTGATATACCAGTGAACACCTGACTAACATAAACAGTTTGGTGTGATACACCAGTGAACACTTGTCTTACATAAACAGTTTGTTGTGATATACCAGTGAACACTTGTCTTACATGAATAGTTTGGTGGTATATACCAGTGAACACCTGACTAACATGAACAGTTTGGTGTGATATACCAGTGAACACTTGTCTTACATGAACAGTTTGGTGTGATATACCAGTGAACACTTGTCTTACATGAACAGTTTGGTGTCATATACCAGTGAACACTTGTCGTACATGAACAGTTTGGTGTGATATACAAGTGAACACTTGTCTTACATAAACAGTTTAATGTCATATACCAGTGAACACTTAACTATCATGAAGAGTTAGTGCTATATAACAATCAACACTTACCCGGCACTGTATATAACAGTCAACACTTACCCGGCACTGTATATAACAGTCAACACTTATCCGGCACTGTGTATAACAGTCAACACTTACCCGGCACTGTATATAGTAATCAACACTTACCCGGCACTGTATATAACAGTCAACACTTACCCGGCACTGTATATAACAGACAACACTTACCTGGCACTGTATATAGCTGTCAACACTTACCCGGCACTGTATATAACAGTCAACACTTACCCGGAACTGTATATAGCAGTCAATACTTACCCGGCACTGTATATAACAGACAACACTTACCTGGCACTGTATATAGCTGTCAACACTTTCCCGGCACTGTATATAGCAGTCAACCCTTACCCGGCACTGTATATAGCAGTCAACACGTACCCGGCACTGTATATAGTAATATATACCAGTGAACACTTGTCTTGCATGAACAGTTTGGTGTGATATACAAGTAAACACTTGTCTTACATGAACAGTTTAATGTCATATACCAGTGAACACTTGTCTTTCTGACTAACATGAACAGTTTGGTGTGATATACCAGTGTACACTTGTCCCACATGAATAGTTTGGTGGTATATACCAGTGGACACTTGTCTTACATGAACAGTTTAATGTCATATACCAGTGAACACTTGTCTTGCATGAACAGTTTGGTGTGATATACAAGTGAACACTTGTCTTACATAAACAGTTTAATGTCATATACCAGTGAACACTTAACTATCATGGAGAGTTAGTGCTATATAACAATCAACACTTACCCGGCACTGTAAATAGCAGTCAACACTTCCCCGGCACTGTATATAAGAGTCAACGCCCTCCCATCACTGTATATAGCAGTGAACACTTACCCGGAACTGTATATAACAGTCAACACTTATCCGGCACTGTGTATAAAAGTCAACACTTACCCGGCACTGTAAATAGCAGTCAACACTTCCCCGGCACTGTATATAAGAGTCAACACTTACCCGTCACTGTATATAGAAGTCAACACTTACCCGGCACTGTATATTACAGTCAACACTTACCCGGCACTGTATTTAACAGACAACACTTACCTGGCACTGTATATAGCTGTCAACACTTACCCGGCACTGTAAATAGCAGTCAACACTTGATATACCAGTGAACACTTGTCTAACATGAACAGTTTAATGTCATATACCAGTGAACACTTAACTATCATGGAGAGTTAGTGCTATATAACAATCAACACTTACCCGGCACTGTAAATAGCAGTCAACACTTCCCCGGCACTGTATATAGTAATCACCACTTCCCCGGCACTGTATATAACAGTGAACACTTGTCTTACATGAACAGTTTAATGTCATATACCAGTGAACACTTAACTATCATGGAGAGTTAGTGCTATATAACAATCAACACTTACCCGGCACTGTAAATAGCAGTCAACACTTCCCCGGCACTGTATATAGCAATCAACACTTACCCGGCACTGTAAATAGCAGTCAACACTTCCCCGGCACTGTATATAACAGACAACTCTTACCTGGCACTGTATATAGCTGTCAACACTTTCCCGGCACTGTATATAACAGACAACACCCACCCGGCACTGTATATAACAGTCAACGCTTTCCCGGCACTGTATATAGCAGTCAACCCTTACCCGGCACTGTATATAGCAGTCAACCCTTACCCGGCACTGTATATAGCAATCAACACTCACCCGGCACTGTATATAACAATCAACCCTTACCCGGCACGGTATATAACAGACAACACTTACCCGGCTCTGTATATAGCAGTCAACACTTATATAACAGTCAACACTTACCCAGCACTGTATATAACAGACAACACTCACCCGGCACTGGATATAACAGTCAACGCTTTCCCGGCACTGTATATAGCAGTCAACACTTTCCCGGCACTGTATATAACAGTCAACCCTTACCCGGCACTGTATATAGCAGTGAACACTCACCCTAACAGACAACACTTACCCGGCACTGTATATTACAGTCAACACTTACCCGGCACTTTATATAAGAGTCAACGCCCTCCCGTCACTGTATATAGCAGGGAACACTTACCCGGCACTGTATATAGCTTGTTGTGATATATCAGTGAACACTTGTCTTACATGAACAGTTTAATGTCATATACCAGTGAACACTTAACTATCATGGAGAGTTAGTGCTATATAACAATCAACACTTACCCGGCACTGTATATAACAGCCAACCCTTACCCGGCCTTGTATATAGCAGTCAACACTTACCCGGCACTAACACTTACCCGGCACTGTATATAGCAGTCAACACTTACCCGGCACTGTATATAAGAGTCAACGCCCTCCCGTCACTGTATATAGCAGTGAACACTTACCCGGCACTGTATATAGCAGTGAACACTCACCCGGCACTGTATAAAACAGTCAACACTTACCCAGCACTGTATATAGCAGTCAACACTTACCCGGCACTGTATATAACAGTCAACACTCACCCGGCACTGTATATAACAGTCAACACTTATCCGGCACTGTATATAGCAATCAACACTTACCCGGCACTGTATATAACAGACAACACTCACCCGGCACTGTATATAACAGTCAACACTTACCCGGCACTGTATATAACAGACAACACTTACCCGGCACTGTATATAACAGTCAACACTTACCCGGCACCGGATAGACAGCATACACGTTAGAATTGCCCCCACACAAGAAAGGTGAACTTGTGTCACCGTTGCAGCTTTTAAAGCACTGGCTGTCAACTCTACCGGTCGGTGAGTTAGAGAAATCTCCACATTGGCACTTATACCCCATCTAAAAAAAAAAAATACAAAATGGCAAAGACTGAGTAGCTCTTGCTTACCATTGACTTTTATTTCAGAGTATTACATCATAGATGGCTGACACTCACAATAGAAGTCCGTCCATCATAAATCTTTTCGGTAATGTTTGCTAAGAGCCGGTTAGAAAAATCTAAAATCTAATATAGATCCACAAAATGTTTACAATATAGCTAAAATCGGTACACATCAATCATTAGGGACAACTTGTACTGAGAACTGTTGACCTTTGACCTTTTACCGATATATCGATGGAGATGTAAAGCATTAAGTTAAAAAATAAAAAAGGGAATATTGACGCAACTCAGATGGAAAATAAAACGTAAAGGCGTTGAATTTTTGTCTTTTTGGTACAGCTAATGTTTTTTCAAGATTGCCAATTGTCCAAATTCATGCATCATTATTTTGATGAGGTAATCATGAGTATCAAGTCTGATGGATTTAACATTTCCTGTGGCTATGACAAGTCAAAAATCGGCACACGGGATACATCATGATAATATTATTAATAAATGATGTTTGGGCCTGTGAAAGCAGTCCGAAAAAAACCCTTCTTGATTTTAACGAAACATAAATGGACCATTGATCGTGTTACAACTAGTTAGAAGATATCACGAAATAAACGTTTACATTTGCCTACAACTATCTGAATGTATTCAAAGAATCGGGGCCGCGGATACCTGACAGACTATTGATTCACTGAATACCTTGCGTTATGTATCAACTATATATGTACGTGTATCAGCTATATATGTATGTGTATCAGCTATACATGTATGTGTATCAGCTATATATGTATGTGTATTAGCTATATATGTATGTGTATCAGCTATATATGTTTGTGTATCGGCTATATATGTATGTTTATCAGCTATATATATATGTACGTGTATCAGCTATATATGTATGTGTATCAACTATATATGTATGTGTATCAACTATATATGTATGTGTATCAGCTATATATGTATGTGTATGATGTTTTAAATTGGCTTTGCTATGTTTGTTAGGTAACTGTTGTTTAAACATTTTTTTCTCTTTTATTTTTATAACATATTTGTTTGAATGTGCAGCGTAATCAGACAAACATGTTATTAACCTAATAATACACGTAGTACAACCGGTGTGTCATTACATGTTATTACTATATAACTTAATAATACACGTAGTACAACGTCATATCATTACATGTTATTACTATATAACTTAATAATACACGCAGTACAACCGTCATGTCATTACATGTTATTACTGTATAGCTTAATAATACACGTAGTACAACCGGTATGTCATTACATGTTATTATTATATAACTTAATAATACACGTAGTACAACCGGTTTGTCATTACATGTTATTACTATATAACTTAATAATACACGTATTACAACCGGTGTGTCATTACATGTTATTACTATATAACTTAATAATACACGTATTACAACCGGTGTGTCATTACATGTTATTACTATATAAGTTAATAATACACGTAGTACAACCGGTATGTCATTACATGTTATTATTATATAACTTAATAATACACGTAGTACAACCGGTTTGTCATTACATGTTATTACTATATAACTTAATAATACACGCAGTACAACCGTCATGTCATTACATGTTATTACTGTATAGCTTAATAATACACGTAGTACAACCGGTATGTCATTACATGTTATTATTATATAACTTAATAATACACGTAGTACAACCGGTATGTCATTACATGTTATTACTATATAACTTAATAATACACGCAGTACAACCGTCATGTCATTACATGTTATTACTATATAGCTTAATAATACACGTAGTACAACCGGTATGTCATTACATGTTATTATTATATAACTTAATAATACACGTAGTACAACCGGTTTGTCATTACATGTTATTACTATATAACTTAATAATACACGCAGTACAACCGTCATGTCATTACATGTTATTACTATATAACTTAATAATACACGTATTACAACCGGTGTGTCATTACATGTTATTACTATATAACTAAATAGTATACGTAGTACAACGGTATATCATAACATGTTATTACTATATAACTTAATAGTACACGTAGTACAACCGGTGTGTCATTACATGTTATTACTATATAAGTTAATAATACACGTAGTACAACCGGTATGTCATTACATGTTATTATTATATAACTTAATAATACACGTAGTACAACCGGTGTGTCATTACATGTTATTACTATATAACTTAATAATACACGTAGTAGTAGTACAACCGTCATGTCATTACATGTTATTACTGTATAGCTTAATAATACACGTAGTACAACCGGTATGTCATTACATGTTATTACTATATAACCTAATAATACACGTAGTACAACCGTCATGTCATTACATGTTATTATTACATAACTTAATAATACACGTAGTACAACCGGTATGGCATTACATGTTATTACTATATAACTTAATAATACACGCAGTACAACCGTCATGTCATTACATGTTATTACTATATAAGTTAATAATACACGTAGTACAACCGGTATGTCATTATATGTTATTACTATATAACTTAATAATACACGTAGTACAACCGGTATGGCATTACATGTTATTACTATATAACTTAATAATACATGTAGTACAACCGGTATGTCATTACATGTTATTATTATATAACTTAATAATACACGTAGTACAACCGGTATGTCATTATATGTTATTACTATATAACTTAATAATACACGCAGTACAACCGGTATGTCATTACATGTTATTACTATATAACTTAATAATATACGTAGTACAACCGTCATGTCATTACATGTTATTACTATATAAGTTAATAATACACGTAGTACAACCGGTATGTCATTATATGCTATTACTATATAACTTAATAATACACGTAGTACAACGGTGTGTCATTATATGTTATTACTATATAACTTAATAATACACGCAGTACAACCGTCATGTCATTACATGTTATTACTATATAACGTAATAATACACGTAGTACAACCGGTATGTCATTATATGTTATTACTATATAACTTAATAATACACGTAGTACAACGGTATGTCATTACATGTTATTACTATATAACTAAATAATACACGTAGTACAACCGGGATGTCATTACATGTTATTACTATATAACTTAATACTACACGTAGTACAACCGTCATGTCATTACATGTTATTACTGTATAGCTTAATAATACACGTAGTACAACCGGTATGTCATTATATGTTATTACTATATAACTTAATAATACACGCAGTACAACCGGTATGTCATTACATGTTATTACTATATAACTAAATAATACACGTAGTACAACCGGGATGTCATTACATGTTATTACTATATAACTTAATACTACACGTAGTACAACCGTCATGTCATTACATGTTATTACTATATAAGTTAATAATACACGTAGTACAACCGTCATGTCATTACATGTTATTACCATATAACTTAATAATACACGTAGTACAACCGGTATGGCATTACATGTTATTACTATATAACTTAATAATATACGTAGTACAACCGTCATGTCATTACATGTTATTATTACATAACTTAATAATACACGTAGTACAACCGGTATGTCATTATATGTTATTACTATATAACTTAATAATACACGCAGTACAACCGTCATGTCATTACATGTTATTACTATATAACTTAATAATACACGTAGTACAACCGTCATGTCATGACATGTTTTGTTGATTCATCAGTCATGAAATAGTATGTTTATCTAAATCTAAAAGTGAAGGAAAATGCTATTTATTTATTGGTACCTTTTTATATAGACCTTACGTGCTTTATTAAGACATATGTGAATGAAACGAAAATTAACAAATATTGTTGAATATCTTGTGCATTGGCAACCACTATCGATCGCTTTTCAGGCAATTCTTATTCGAAACTTCGTTATAATTGAAAACAAACCTGGCGAACATTTGCTTTCTAGTCTCTTTTAAACTGACACGCTTGGAATGTCTAAGTCTGCTCTTACCATCGTACTTTGTGGTTGATACTTGTCCAATGTTTAGCGTTCTCTCAACAGCTCTCAGGTCATATTAACGAGGCACTTTACATTTGTCAGATGACAAAGCAGCTCAATGGCCACTTTAAAATGTCTTTTCAATGAAATACCATATATTGTATACGATAACATGGCACTTGTCCCGTCACACGATTATGGCAAAAAGCTATACAGAGGTGTCAGGTGAATGCAAACCCTTTCACCCCTATGTAACATTAGTAGTCTCTACCATGCATTGATCTGGATGAGTCCATGATGGTCTACAGTGGTGAAAACGTTAGCTATGACAAAAAATACAAAGCACTAAAACACAAATATTCTGCAGAAGCCCGACATTAGTCGCTTCCTACTTTTTATCACGGGTCAGGCCATGATGGATTGGTCAAAGGCGCGACAAATGAAACATGTCCCGCGTTTATACTCTAGTGTTATAAAGTACTAGACACGAAGGATCTCTATTTATCTACTGAAACAAATCAGATGCTTAGAATAGAGTTGATGTTCATAAACACAATATACGGCTAACGTAGGTCTTTTTTTCACTCATAAAAGAACAACCACTGCTGCATTTGTGAAAAGGATGGATGCGATGTATATTTGATTCAGTGATATATTTCATGTCACGATTAAACAACGAAACAACAAGAATTTGTTTTCAATTTAACTAGGACAGAGACCACATGCCGAAATTTTAAATAGTAAATTGCAAGATATATGGTTCGAAAGTGTTATTAACAAAACGTACCTCTAGCAACATGCGTGGAAGGGACAGCGCCCGGCAGTGGTCAGCACACAGCTGTAGTGTCATATACTGAAAATCCTCAGCGCCATATGTTCTCGTAAGTGCGTCGAACGGCCAACAGCCTTCGTAAGTGTATGCAACATTATTTGAGGATGATTCTGAAATTGAAATGTTAAATGAATTTATTAATAAAGACGTGCAAGTAGAAATACAGAGTAGTTTAATGTCATTTATCTATATACGTTGTTTTTTTTAAATATAAAGCTATTATTATCAAACGCGTTAAAGACAATATTACGCGCGTGCTGTAAGGTATCTATTATACACATATTGTACAGTATCTTTTATACACATATTGTAAAGTATATAGTCTACACATATTGTAAAGTATCTATTATACACGTATTGAGCAGTATCTATTATACAAGTATTGTAAAGTATATATTATACACGTATTGTAAAGTTTGTATTATACACGTATTATAAGGTATATATTATACGCGTAATGTAAAGTATCTACTATACACGTATTGTAAAGTATATATTATACACGTATTGTAAAGTATATATTATACACGTATTGTAAAGTATCTATTATACACGTAATTTAAAGTATCTATTATACCCGTATTGTAAAGTATCTATTATACACGTCCTGTAAAGTATATATTATACACGCATTGTAAAGTATCTATTATACACGTCTTGTAAGGTATCTATTATACACCTAATGTAAAATATATATTATAAACGTATTGTGTAAAGTATATATTATACACGTATTGTTAAGTATCTATCATACACGACTTGTAAAGTATCTATTATACACGTATTGTTAAGTACCTATTATACACGTATTGTAAAGTATATATTATACACGTAATGTAAAGTATTTATTATACACATGTTGTATAGTATATATTATACACGACACGTATTTTTAAGTATCTATTATACACGTATTGTAATATATATTATTCACGTATTGTTAAGTATCTATTATACACGTATTGTAAAGTATATATTATACACGTATTGTAAAGTATATATTATACACGTATTGTAAAGTATATATTATACACGTATTGTATAGTATATATTATACACGTAATGTAAAGTATCTAGTATACACATATTGTTAAGTATATTTTACACACGTTATGTAAAGTATATATTATAAACGTATTGTTAAGTATATATTACACACGTATTGTTAAGTATATATTATACACTATTGTTAGGTACCTATTATACACTTATTGTAAAGTATCTATTATACACGTCTTGTAAAGTATATAGTATATATGTATTGTAAAGTGTATATTATACACGTATTGTAAAGTATATATTATAAACGTATTGTAAAGTATCTATAATACACGTATTGTTAAGTATATTTTACACACGTTATGTAAAGTATATATTATAAACGTATTGTAAAGTATATATTATAAACGCACTGTAAAGTATATATTATAAACGTATTGCAAAGTATCTATTATACACGTATTGTAAAGTATCTATTATACACGTATTGTAAAGTATCTAGTATACAAGTGTTAAGTATCTATTATACACGTATTTTTAAGTATTTATTATACACGTATTGTAAAGTATCTATTATACACGTATTGTAAAGTATCTAGTATACAAGTGTTAAGTATCTATTATACACGTATTGTTAAGTATTTATTATACACGTGTTGTGAAGTATCTATTATACACGTGTTGTTAAGTATCAATTATACACGTATTGTAAAGTTTATATTATATACGTATTGTTAAGTATCTATTTTACAAGTGTTGTAAAGAGTAGCTTTGTATGTTACTTATAGCATATATAACGGTTATGTTTTATAATAATAAGACTGACATTTTTTTAAAATATAAGTACTGAAAATATAAATAAAAGAAAACAGTTTTATTTTAATTAATTTTTAAATGACAAATGAAAAATGTATTAAATGAAGTTACAAACATACTGTTTTAGAAATTTTTGCTGATACAATTTGTCAAATGAGACGCACTTATCCTTTGTTTTCAGAGACAAAATATTCAGGATATTCAGCGCAACCTTGTAGGATGAAAACAATTTGACAAAATAAATTTTTAAATGAATAAAATACATAAAAAATAATCAAATTTTAGAATTCAGAAAGACGCTTGCCTATAGCCAGTGTTAGTGGAACGTCTGAAGATCGTGGTACAAGGAAGACCGGATACTGGTTTTGGGAAGCGTTTGTCAACGGGCCGTTAAAGACACCAAGCCATGCCAAATTCGTTCCTAAAGTGCTCCCGATGTAAAGCTGGTATGACTGTTTACTGTGACAGGAAATATATCATTTTCGTCATTTGTGAAACAAACACCTTGAAGTCACGTCATCCTCTATACTCAAAGTGTTATGCTCACTTACGTTCTCTCTGCAACCCGTGAATATGACATAGCAAAATTGATATTTTGGGTCGCGGCTAGCTATTTGATTGGTATCGGGGGGAAAACTTTATCAAATGCTAGGCCGATAGCTGTCTTTTGAGGATAACAGAAGAAAGCACATTGAACCGTCGATTTGCTATGACATATTCCAGGGGTGCAGAGGGCGAAAGCGAGCATAACCTCTGGAGTGGCCAGGATGTGTTCACATCAGCTATTAACATTGATTACAAATCAGGTTGTTCTACAGTGGATGAAATATTGACGAAATATCACTTTGACAATCAACAAGTTGTTAACCTAATCTGTCCTATTTCACTATTCCCCTAACTGCTGTAGATTTCACTATCCCCCTGCTATAGATTTCACTATTACCCAAACTGCTATAGATTTCACCATTCCCCTAACTGCTATAGATTTCACTATTCCCCTAACTGCTATAGATTTCACCATTCCCCTAACTGCTATAGATTTCACTATTCCCCTAACTGCTATAGATTTCACCATTCCCCTAACTGCTAAAGATTTCACAATTCCCATAACTGCAAAAGATTTCACCATTCCCCTAACTGCTATAGATTTCACTATTCCCCTAACTGCTATAAATTTCACCAGCCCCTAACCGCAATAGATTTCACTATTATAAAGTAATGACGAAATAACGAAACGACGACATTTTAATTTTACTAAATGTCTGGATCTCGCAGTGAAATAACGAAACGACGACATGTTAACTTCACTAAATGTCGTAATCTCGCCGCGAAAAGACGAAAAGACGAAAGGACGACATTTGTAACACGAAATAACGACGAGATAACGACAATTTAGATACAAATATAATGTCGTTATTTCGCCGCGAATTAACGAAATAACGAAATCGCACTAATGAGCAACCATAAATACCAGAGTAATCAGGTTGATAATGTACTGATGCATACATACGCCAACTGGAAAGTTCATTGAAAAATAACCTTTGAAATGTTTAGTAAGTATATTGAGTCAAAGTTCAGTAGAAAAGTAAATATTATGAAATAATCAAACGTATCATGACGGCACTCTATTACTGTACTTTCATGTTACGGGGGAACAGAATCTATAAAACAAGTTAATCAATTATCTCTAACCATTTTTATGAAGTAATTCGTTGGCGATCGTAAATTTTACTTAAGAATTAACTCACAAAAATTGTTATGTTATTCGTAAGATATAAACAGATTGTACCTCCAGCTAATATCGACTGTCGAGGCGCTAACTGGAGACGAGGAGGATAGGATATTACTTGCTACCAGTAGATCCGGTAAGGCCGGGCCGGTCCCTATTGGAACCCCGAACACCATCTCCCACAGTATGTCGCCTTGGTCGTTAAACGTTCTTATGTGAATCTGTGCGACAAACCATTGTACAGATCATTGATTAACAGTGCCTAAACTGTTTAAAATATATATTTTCATTTTTTTTTTTATATCACACAACATGTAATATAAGCCATATATGTCACTGTACTTTTAACACAATAACACTATGTTATGCTGAGCTTGAAACAGTTCATTCTCGAAATACCAGATGTTATTCTTTCTGACGTTCTCTACAGTCCCGAAAGATAGCATGACATCATTAAAGGCTCTGTAAGCGCTACCCTGCTAATGATACAAGTAAACTAGGTTGATCATTTGGCTTTGATAAACACCAACCGACTGGTGCCGCTCCCCTGTAATCGTCAAAGGACATGTATCAGACTGGCGATTGCTCAGTTTTTTCGAATTTCTGAAACCATTCTAGTCGCTGAATGTGTGCCTTCGATTTTATCATGATACATTCAACAGGTGCAGGTAACGTGTATTTGTTCATGAATACTGTCACCTACACACGTTGATCACCATTCCCAATAACACATGTTTTATTATGATTCGCTTTTGTTTAATAGGAAGACATGCACATTACTATCGAGACAGATCGTAATATCAGCGCAAGTAGCCGTCATACCCTATCTGGTGGATTGTTCCAGTCATCAATGTGTGGACTTCTGACCAAAGTCAGCGGAATCAGTTCTTCAACGGGCAACAGGGGGTTCAGATCAGCTGGGTGGGTATTGCCTGTCTGGTTCCAAACGGACTCAACGTTGACACCGTTTCCTTCTCTTACCAACATCAAGACTCTCTCCTCTGCAGCTATAACATATATCAGTCACGTGTTTATACTAAAACAGATCAAGTTAATTATAAAAAAATGTTATTCACGTGTATAATAAAACAAATCAGTCATGTGTTATAAATCAAATATCAGTCACGTATATAACACATATCAGTCACGTTTATAAAACATATCAGTCACGTATATAACACATATCTGTCACCTGCAATAAAAAAAACATCAATAAGTTACGTTTATTAAAAACACGCTGGTCGAGTAAAATGAAAACACATTAGTCACGTGTAATTATAAACGCATACGTCATATTTATAAAAGACACATAAGTCACGTGTAGTATATCACACCAGTCAAGTGTGATTATAACACATAAGTCACGTTTAATAAAAACAACTCATCAGTCACGTGTATAATAGAACATATCTGATTTTATATGTTACCCTGGTAAAATACTAGCCGCTTCCTACCGACTCGGCTAGGGAGAATTTCTTTTTAGCTCATTCGGTAGAGCGTAAGACTAGCAAGTCAGAGGTCCATGGTTCGACTCTTGGCGAAGGCCTTAAAAATAATGACCTCTGTGACATTCGCGCCCATGTAGGGACCCGGGAGATTTTACAAAAATACTCGGCGATACTTGCAAAGGAATCGCTTAGACCTGGACAAGTCGGGACGAGTTCTTTCCTGGAAGGGGAGTATGTCACCCTGGCGAAATACTAGCCGCTTCCTAACGACTTGCTAGGGAGAATTTCTCTTTAGCTCATTCGGTAGAGCATAAGACTAGCAACCAGAGGCCCCGGGTTCGACCCCTGGTGGAGGCACTAACAAAATAACGACCTCTGTTCACATTTCGAATCACACCTCCAAATGGACCTGGTCCTGGGTTCCATGTCGCTCCGGATCAATCGCACTTTCTCCCTCCTTCACAGAGGTTCTCCTTCCTATACCATGATTCTGCAAACTGGCTACCTTTATCTCCATCGTCGGAACGGTACCGGTCCTCCATTCCAAAAATAAGTTGGGCGCCATTTAGTGAACATCAAACACTCTAGCAAATGTAGTTCCCCATACTACTTTCCATAAGTCTTTGGAAAGTGGCAGGTGCATTGGTTAAACCAAAGCTCATACGCTTGCACTCATAAAAACCAAGATTTCTAACTGAGAGAGCTGTCTTTGGTTTATCCCCTTCTTCCATCTCGACTTGCCAGTAACCTGAACGTAAGTCGAGTTTAGAAAAGTAATTTGACCCACTGAGTGTGTCAACAACATCGTCAAAACGAGGCCACATGTAGGCGTCCTTACGCGTACGTGCATTTAGAGTTCTATAGTCAATACAGAATCGTAGAGGTCCGTCCTTCTTTCTCACTTAAACGACGTCAGATGAGAAAGGACTATTTGACTCTCTAACTACACCTGCCTGTAACATGTCTTTGACGTATGGCACACCTCTTCATACATTCCAGGAGGTATCCTTCAGTAAGATTGCTTAAATGGTTTGCTTTCCTCTAACTCTGTCTGATGTTTCACTATATAAGCCTTTCCTGAATCCAATGGTCCCTTAGAAAATACTCTATGCCAACCCCAATCACTGCTTTTGCCTCAACAGCCTGTTTCTAAGTTAAGTGTTCCTCCTCTTACATAATACCTAACTCCTCAAAATAATCTGACTCAACCTTAGAGTTTCCACCTTTTCAGAAGCTAAATTATCCACTATTTCCACAGCCTGAATGACACATAATTCCCCTTTGGGTATTAGTGTTATAGATGTCGCTGTGATGCTACATATCTGAACGGGAACCCTTGCTACATTTGCATTCTGACTAAGTTTCACCACTCTAAGACATACCCCAAAACCTGCACCCTCGGCTAAACCTTCTGTTACCACTTCACTCATGTGATCATCTTAACATCTAGCTAACTCGTCAACAACTGCAGATTCGTATGGAGCAATATGTATTGGATAAAGTCCTTACTGTTGCAGTATTACAGGTAATACTATAAATAGACATCTGCCATGCTTCTGGTATAACTCAGCTAGTCTCATCCATGGTTTACCAGTCCCTGCACTGCCTCATAACATTTATACCCGCTATAAGTGGACAGTGTCCATTGTACTGAGGAGTATCAGGTACTACTAACACTGGAACTAGTACTTCCACATTAGAAAAATATGGTACAATTATAACACACTCATTGTAACCAACAGATCTTGGACTAGAACCATCCGCGATTGATACCTCCAAGCCTAAATCTCCTCTAAACTAATGTAGCCAGACTCTGATATGGTTGTCACCATAGATCCACTATCTACTAACGCCTTTATCGCACAGTTATTGATACTTACTGTGCTTTCATTTGCTACACCTACCATTCGAGTAATCAAATTGTGGCCTCGTCCTTGTACATTACCGGTCTCAGCTTGGTCAGCAGCAGCGACCTCCACGCGTTTGGGTTGTACATACACTGACTCTGTTCTTGAGCTCCATTTTGACCATGACTTTAACCCTGACCCCTCTGTTGACCTTGACCATACCTGTTTCCTCTGCCTCTCTGACCTTTGTTATTGTCACCAGCCCTCTGGTTTCTTCCAGAAAAGAACTCGTCTCGACTTTTCCAAGTCATATCGATTCCTTTGCAAGTATTGTTGAGTATTTTTGTCAAATCTCCAGGGGCCCCACGTTGGGCGCCATTTGTCACCGGTTGCTCAATATAAATCACAAACACGGACAAGTTGTGTATTCCAAAATCTTTCTTTTGCTTTCTCCGAGAAACCTACAATACAGAACAATACAATAAATGCATTCACCCTCACATATACTAAACAACTCCCATGCCGACCGAGGTACCGGACCTCTGAATACAGACCGCTATATGTATATATTAATTCAAATAAGATAGTTATTACATTAATACTTCAATAAATACCGGGTATGATGTTCCTAGAATGGTTCATTAATCAGTGCTGGCGGCAATGTCTCTGTACGCCTCTATACAATCAGCAGATCTAGTGCACAGATCCTTCTCTTACGAGTTGGATTGTAAACATGACAACTGGGCAGTAAGTATTTACCCAGTAGCCGAAATATAGTGGCGGGAAGATAGGGTGCTTTATTCGTGCAAGGGGCAGGCCCAAGGTCTACGTCGTAACAGAACATAACAACACAGGTACTGATGACGTCACATACACTGTATACAGACAGTTGACAGCCCTCGTTATAATATATATATATATAAAACACCATAAATATGTTTATCATAAATATATCCGGGTTACATATATAATCACATCAGTCACGAGAAATTAAAACGCATAAGTCATGTTTAATAAAAACATATCAGTCAGGTGTATAATAAAGACACATCAGTCACATGTAACAAAAGAACACATCAGTCACGTGTATTAAAAACACATCAGTCACTAGTAAGAAAATACATCAGTCACAAGTAAGAAAATACATCAGTCACAAGTAAGAAAATACATCAGTCACAAGTAAGAAAATACATCAGTCACAAGTAAGAAAATACATCAGTCACTAGTAAGAAAATACATCAGTCACTAGTAAGAAAATACATCAGTCACTAGTAAGAAAATACATCAGTCACTAGTAAGAAAACACATCAGCCACTAGTAAGAAAATACATCAGCCACAAGTAGGAAAACACATCAGTCACTAGTAAGAAAATACATCAGCCACTAGTAAGAAAATATATCAGTCACTAGTAAGAAAACACATCAGTCCTAGTAAGATAATACATCAGTCACTAGTAAGAAAATTCATCAGTCACTAGTAAGAAATCACATCAGTCCCTAGAAAGAAAATACATCAGTTACTAGTAAGAAAACACATCAGTCGCTAGAAAGAAAAATACATCAGTCACTAGTAAGAAAAAACATCATTCACTAGTAAGAAAACACATCAGCCCTAGTAAGAAAATACATCAGTCACTATTAAGAAAATACATCAGTCACTAGCAAGAAAACACATCAGCCACTAGTAAGAAAATACGTCAGCCACTAGTAAGAAAATACATCAGCCACAAGTATGAAAACACATCAGTCACTAGTAAGAAAACACATCAGCCCTAGTAAGAAAATACATCAGTCACTTATAAGAAAATACATCAGTCACTAGTAGGAAAACACATCAGTCACTAGTAAGAAATTACATCAGTCACTAGTAGGAAAACACATCAGTCACTAGTAAGAAAACACATCAGTCGCTAGAAATAAAATACATCAGTCACTAGTAAGAAATTACATCAGTCACTAGTAGGAAAACACATCAGTCACTAGTAAGAAATTACATCAGTCACTAGTAGGAAAACACATCAGTCACTAGTAAGAAATTACATCAGTCACTAGTAGGAAAACACATCAGTCACTAGTAAGAAATTACATCAGTCACTAGTAGGAAAACACATCAGTCACTAGTAAGAAATTACATCAGTCACTAGTAGGAAAACACATCAGTCACTAGTAAGAAAATACATCGGTCACTAGTAAGAAAACACATCAGCCCTAGTAAGAAAATACATCAGTCACTAGCAAGAAAACACATCAGCCACTAGTAAGAAAATACGTCAGCCACTAGTAAGAAAATACATCAGTCACTAGTAAGAAAATACATCAGCCACTAGTAAGAAAATACATCAGTCACTTGTAAGAAAATACATCAGTCACTAGTAAGGAATACATCAGTCACTAGTAAGAAATACATCAGTCACTAGTAAGAAAATGCATCAGTCACTAGTAAGGAATACATCAGTCACTAGTAAGAAAATACATCAGTCACTAGTAGGAAAACACATCAGTCACTAGTAAGAAAATACATCAGTCACTAGTAAGAAAATCCATCAGCCACTAGTAGGAAAACACATCAGTCACTAGTAAGAAATTACATCAGTCACTAGTAGGAAAACACATCAGTCACTAGTAAGAAAATACATCAGTCACTAGTAAGAAATTACATCAGTCACTAGTAGGAAAACACATCAGTCACTAGTAAGAAAATACATCAGTCAC